TATTTTTCCGAATATATAAAATAAGCTTTTGGAATTGTATGTCAGTTATCCAGGTGCAAAAGAAACAACTTGAGTGATATTTGCTTTATTAGCTTTTGAGGTAGTGTGCGATCAGACTAACGGATGGAGTGACATATCTCAATCAACGCAGAATTTTACGCTGAGCAAGAAAATTTTCCTTCATAAAGGTGCAGGTTATAAAAGTTTATTAAGTGAAATATCTATATAACCTCGTGAATATTTGTTTTTGGTTTTTCCTTCATCTTTTTAACTAGGTAAGTGACTAGTCTGCCGTAGTATTAATTTTCACATAGATAGATTCCCATAATGAAGATTTACAAAAATCAATAGAATATTTTATAAAATCTAATAATTTGGACATCATCGAAATCATAGAATTTAAATAATTACATTAAAATCTAAAGTTGACTTGGAGTTTTTTGCTCTGAATTTTCCAAATTCAATTAGTAGAATTATTGTGTTTAAATAAATTGCATTTGAGAGTCATACAGCTGAAGAACAAAAATTGCGTAAAAGTTAATATTGAACTCGGTTTAAGTCTTGACGCATTGCGACTCATATAAGAAAATTAATATAGTTTATATTGATTTTTCTGCCCCAAAAATTTAATGTATTTGGATTTAATGAATATGAAAATATTTTCAAAATAAATTCTCGTCTCTTCTGTTATAATTTTTCATACACTTTGAAAATAAATCGATTGGAATTGGTTGAAAAATCAATTAAATTTTAAAATATGCATAAACATAAATAATATAGAGATGAAAGACTTTTAGAATTTGATGGTAGAAATAGAAAAAATAAAAATATAATATTTTTTAATGTTCTTTTATATGCGCCACCCAAGTTGTATGCATAATTAGAACTTAATTTCATTTTCATTTTATAGCACTGATAATCAGCATTTAACTGATTGAGTATAGGAATTTTATAACAAAGGGTTTATTACTAAAAATTATTATTGCTTTCCGTTTTAATTTTATTAATTTACAGTTTCAAAAACCACTTAGAATTTAGTATTAGTTTTATAGTTGAAGATTTATTTCTATAAGTATATTGTGTGGCTATAATACCTCTTTTTTGTTGATTATTTAAAACTATTTATACTTATAACTAACTGAATTTACAAAAATATTGTAAAATAATTGTTGAAATTTTAAAACCACTCACAGAAATCGATAATAAATCTTACTTAACTCTTACTTTTTCACCCAGTTTTCAAATTACATTACAATATTTTGAATTCACAAAATAATTATTTCTAAAAATTATAATTTAAAATAATTTCAAACAATTTCAAATTTCAACTAAATTTCTAAATAAAGCTAGAACGGTTTAATGTGTATCGCAACTAATATTATCTCAGAATTATACTAAATAAATTATATTCTCCGTCTTTTACAATATTAGTATACATACTAAACAAGCTAACAACACAATATGGAAGCAAGCTCTGGAATGAAATCTGCAAAGTAAAAGCAAAATGGGTAGACCTCGTAATATATGGCGTAGAATAATGTTACGAGAATTTGAATTAAGCGAAAAAACATGGTTAGAAGTTAAGTACTTAGCACAAAATAGAGCAAGATTTAGATTATATGTTGAAGCCTTTATCTTTCCAACGAAAGTTTATTCTTTTATAATAATAAATTAGAATTTAAACTTACTATTTTATGCTTAAATAAAATTTTAAATAGACACTTTTCAGAATTTATTGTTAAATGTTGAATATTTTACGGAGATTTTTATTTAAATTTTGTTTTAGGATCTGATATTCTATAATATATGACTTATTATATTGCATATACTCGTACTTAATAGGGTAATATGAAATATGTATGCCGAAAAAAAAATTTAAAATATTTCTATATACCAAAATCCTGAGATTGTTAATTGTGTATAACAGTCCTTAATAATTGTGTATAACAGTTTTTATTTTGTATAATATTTATATGCAATATAAATAATATTTTTATGCAATATAAATTAAAAATGTTTATTACTAAAATTCCAATTAAAAAATCTAAATTAATTCTTACTACGTATGTAACTATGTATGTAATATACTATGATGATGTGCCTATGTATATATTGTGAACTGTTATAACAATATGTATACAGTGTTTCAATTAATATTACCGGATATTTATCTTGCGGTATAATCATTTTATCCATTACTGGTATCAAAATTATTTTGATTAGTTCGATTCAATTAGAATGCCTATAGAAAACGAAGGCATTATTATTCAAATAATCAAACATTGTAATTAAAAAACAAACAATATATTTTTGAACTATTATAAATAAATTATGGTTATTTTAAGAAAATGGTGATTAATTTTTTCATATAAAAAAAAAAAAACTCTATGAATTCTAATGTATTGCATGATTTATTTTACTGTATTAAATTGTATTAACACAAGCACGAACAAAATTTATATTCAATCAAACATTTTTTAATTATTTTATATTATTAAATATTTTGATAATCGTATTTATTAGCGATTAAATTTTTTAATATAAAAAAGAGTATTGTATGAAATATTTATTAAAAATAGCAAAATCGTATGACGGATAGCATTATCTATTTTATGTACTTACAACATTTTGTATGAGAGCTATAATAATTTATACAATTTATTTGTGTATGATTCTAAATATTGTCATGAAATTTTATATGCCTAATCATTATTAATTTAAAATTTGCTTACATTACTGACATGGTCTACTTTTATGATATTTGCCATAATTAATTTTCATATATAAAATTATAAAATTAATTTCAATTAAAAATCTAATATATAATTAATATTTATAACCATTCTGATATGTATATATAAGTATAGTAAAACTCTTATTATGATATAACTAATATAAACGTGAATTATACTCTAAATTTTTAGTTTATATAAGAATATAATTTTCAATTAAGAAATGTGGCATATAGAAAATAGAAGAAAATTAGAATTTAATGCATTTTAGTAAAATGTATACGCATTCTATATAGATATTTTGCACATACATACATTATATTTAGCAGAGAAAAAAAAAAACATGAAAAAGAAACTGTAAAAAGACATCGAATTGTATAATAAAAGTTCATTAATTTAATTGGTCATCATCATCATATCCACCTAGTTTGAGTACTAGAATACAATATTAGTGTATACTCATTGTTATTTGTATAGCATATAGAACTTTTTTTTTCAAAATATGGCATTATTTTGTTCTATATTATAGTATGAAACTAGAATATCTGTATGTATGTATGTATATAAAGCTAAAATTTTGTACTAAAAGCCGCCATTTTAATTTTTAATTAAAAAAAAAAAAAACAAGAATAAAATAAACTGAAAAGATTTTTTCATTTTTTGTTTTCTTCTCATTTTTCATTCATTCTTCATTTTCTAAATACACTCATTTTTATATCATTCTATGTGGTACAAACATTTTCTATATATAGCTATTAGATAATTATATACGAGTATATGCTTATTTATTTTAATGCAATTTTATGATGGCTATTATAATACAAAATGCAACAAATCACTTTATGTCCATTATAAATTCAAATATATTGTATATTAGCATTATATATATATATATAATATATGTATATATGCATATATACATACATATTTATATATGGGTGTCTAAATACACAATATAAATTTTTAAAGAATTTATATGCAAATATGCATTTGCGTACATATATATATATTCAAAATGAGCCATTAATTTTAATTTAAGGCCATAACAGTATTATTCACCTTATATAGTATGGCTGGCAAATATTTTTTTTTTGAATTTATAGGGCTTCCTTATAGTATACCTGTTCTGCTTCAAAAATTTACAAAAGGTAACAAAAATAAAACGAAAAATAAAGGTAAAATGAAAATAATACGAAAAGAAAAAAAATTATAAAAACAGCTAAACTAAGAAAAAAACGAAAGCGCGAAAATAATATAGTTATATGCATATGTGAATACAATATGTGCCTATATATTAAATTCTGGTCTTTTTACAGTCTGTACTTCATATATATATACAATAATATTCGTGTATAACAGATATTTATATGTATACATTTACTAACGAACATAAATTTAACTTATGTGTTAGAGAATAAAACAGAAAAATTTCATGGTATAGAATTTTTTTTTTTTGTTTTATTTCATTCTATATGGTTATATTTTTCCTTATGCAACATATATATATATATACATAGAATTTATTATATTGCATAAATTGCATATATATAGGGTGAAAGCTGTAAAATGTGTTGGAAAAATAAGTAAGTTGCTTTGCTACATTCACGTAATATAAATTTGCACAATAGAAGCAAACCAAAATTTTTTAAATTAGCTTACAATATGTGGACCATTTGTGGGGCGTTATGTAACGAGATGTAGGAAGAAAACAAAATTGCTCATCTTCGTTCGCTTTCGAGAATGCAAAATCTTATCTGACCTACGAATATTATCTATTATCTGCCTTATACATTTCGTGTTGTAATCAAATGAATCTTCACTATAGTAGAAACTGTTATACGATAAGAAAAAATATTTTAGATCTCTAGCAAATTTTCTATGAATATTATTTTTGACTGCGAATCATTAATCATTAGAAGTACACTAATTTATTGCCATTCTGTATTTATTATTATGTTATATGTATAATAATTCTAAACATTATCCAACAATATTGTATACATAAAAATTTTTTCCATATAGGTGTATACGATATTCTTTTCATTTTCATACCATCAAAACTATTATATTGCATTATATAATAATTATAAATGTGCAATGCACATATTTATAATGTTATACATGCATATGTACATGACTATATGTGTGCAATTATGTGTGCACAAAAAAAAATAAAATAAATAAAAATTGTATTTTTATATTAATTTTTTTTTTTTTTTTGTTTTTTTCTTTCAACATTTTTTTCATTTATTTTCTTTTTAATTGCAGATATGGCGCCGGCTATGATTTAGCAGCAAGACGAAAAAATGCCACACGTGAATCAACAGCAACATTAAAAGCCTGGCTAAATGAACATAAAAAGAATCCTTATCCAACAAAAGGTGAAAAAATTATGTTAGCAATAATAACAAAAATGACATTAACGCAAGTATCAACGTGGTTTGCGAATGCAAGAAGACGACTGAAAAAAGAAAATAAAATGACATGGGAACCAAAAAATAAAACTGATGATGATGATGATGCAATGGTTTCAGATGAAGAAAAAGATAAAGATGATATGTTAGATACAGATAAAAATCGTGATTTAAAAGGTAAGTAACGATAATTAATATTGCAGAGAATAAAACAGCAACAACAAAAAAAAAACAACAACAACAATAGCAACAGTAACTATGTAAAAAGAAGTAGTGAAATTATTTTTATGTTTTTTTTTTTATTTTTTAAGTAATTTTTATAATTTTTGGTTTTTATTTATGTTTTCTCTTAAATTTTTTTAATTTTATTTCCTTGTATCTTTTTGATGTAAAAATTTTTGATGGAAAATTATGACTTTTTTGAAATCTATATGATGAAAATTAATTTTGTGTTTAAGTTATAAGGGCAGCTACAACTACGTTTGGTTGTCAACTCACACATATATTATGTTATGTGTATATAGCAAGGTTATGTGTAGAATAACTAGTCGAAAAAATTTAAAATCAAAAACCAGTAAGACGAATTAATTAAAAAATTTAATACTCAACCCCAATCAAATAATAGTTTTATACTAACAAATTGATTCCAATCCCAACAACTGAAAAAAAAATTAGATTCTTCAACAAAGTCTTCATATTTTTAGTTCTCTTCGTATGTGGGAAATATAATATTATTTTCACAAAATATGCTTTTATTAAATACTAGTTTTAATGATAAAGTCGAAACGGGATTATTGATTTCCGATTTAATGAGAATGAGTTATGAGTGAAATCATAATATCATTTTTAACCCTTTGCACTATGAAGTCACCTCTGGGGTGACAAAAATATTTTTCTCTAAAACTCTGACGTCATCTCTGGCGTGACAAAAATATTTTTCACCAAAACTCTGAAGTCACCTCTGGCGTGACAAAAAAGTTATTCATTAATTCAATTATTGTTAGTATTGAGTGTATTCGCCAAGTAATTGTACTCCATACCTAACATATGATATCAAAACCAGAAAAATTAAATCAGAGTTGGCCAAAAACAAATTAGAAAAACAATTATAGTGCAAAAGATTAAAAGAAGTTTGGAGGCTGTGAAGAACACTATAGCAAATCATATGCCGAGCTTTGTTTTCGCGTACTTTGATATAGATGTCCGGATTTCTTATTATTCGAGAATATTACTGATGATATCTACTGTCAAAAAACCGAATTCAGTGGTTTATTCAGTATATGGCCACTACTTTAATATGCTTAAAATTTCAAAGCAATTATAATAAATCCGAAAATTTAAATTTATTAAGCTATATAGTTTGGAAGCTTTATAGTTCCTATCATGACTATCTAAACCGATTGGTTTCACATCACAAAGGTAAAGGTATTTTGTCATAAAAGCAATTACTGAAGAATTAATTATTACTATTGAAGTTTTACGACATATATGCGGTACATATCGTAAAAATCGGGAAATTATTTTAGACTACAACCGTACAAGAGGCGATGTCAATAATTTTTACAAAATGCTGTATTAATGTTTATGCAAACGGCCGATAAATTGATTGCCTTTGGCCAATTCAGAATAAAATCATAATAATAAAATGAAAATAGATAGTTACCGCAATATTCTTCCAAACCTCGTAGAAACGTTATTTCCAAGATAATCAAACGTGTTGTACGTAAACAGTGAAATAATTAAAAATTTTACTTTTAGAAGTAGAATAGAAAGTATGTTGGGTTACAATTTAAAATCGCAAACAGACATACTTAATAAACTCATTGTACTACCAGATAGGAATGAATCTGGTAGATTTCGAAACAAACGTACTGGAAATTTATGCTCAAATGATCGTTTTACCAGGAAAATCTGCACAAAACGACAAGAAATTTTTTTTGTAGCCAAAATTCAGTTGAAAATGCAAATGCTATACGGAACAAATTACTTTATAATTTTATTTTGGCTTATTTTGGGTTTAAATTATTGTGAGTTAAATAAGTTTTGCATACTTTACGGCATTCCTTCTGTATGTTAACATATTTTGTGTATTACGGCAAATTAAATTGAATTTTTTACTGCAATTATTTCCTTTAAATTTAAATTTTCATTCAAATGAATGAGATTCGAATTCATTTCATATTCCAGTCTGTCCAATAATAATACTATTGGATGGCTTTTAAAAAAAAATTTCTGTCTTAATTCTTTATATACTCTTCTTTATTTTAATTTTTATTAAAATCAAAAACTTTTGCTTTTCAATTCGTTACAAATTAAGGATCGGTTCTTTGAACTGTAATCTTTAGTAATATTTTCATTTTCTTGTATAATGCGGTCCTTAATTATTTTGAATCCACGTAATTAATTTTAAAAATAAAAAAGCAAAAATGACAAAGAATTTTCTTTGTTTGCTTTTTTTTTTTTAATTTTATTCCATTTGAATGATCACCATATTATATAAAATTTTAAATTTTATCTCACATTATACTTGTATAATAGTAAAAGAACAACGTCCGCCGCCATACACATTAAAATTTATAAGAAAGAAAGGATTTAATTTATTTACTTTTTTCCTGCGACCAAATAAATCAATAGGATTGACAACAATAATAACAAGTATAACATTATAAAAAGGAACAATAAACAATATTATGTTATATGTATAACAAATAAATTTTTGTACTCCAATACGTTGCTGTGCATATATAGGAACAAATCCTTTTAAATATAATTTTGCTGTCCTTTTTGAAAACAGTATTGGTGTATGCAGGTTATGTCTTATAGCTATAAACAATAATTACTCAATATATAAAAATAAATAAATATTTTATATATATTTATTGTAGATATATACTGTTATACACTATTTTATTATTTTTGCTTATATTATATGCCTCCCATTTAACCTGAAATATTTCTCAAAAGGGGAGAAAAATTTAAAAAAGGATATTTTTAACAATATTTATGTACACAATATAACAAATAACGAGACAATGTAAAATTACAATAATAACAATATGTACGGCATTTTAAAAAGACTATTCTCTCTCTATATAAAACTATAATTTATAGAAAAGAAACAATGAATGGCGGCTGTTTTATAAAAAAAAAATTTTTAACCTCCTCATTCCTCATTTTCTATTATTATTATTTTGGTGTTGTAATTTAAATATTTATACATTTGCCTTTTTATAAAGAAACTAGTTAGTAATACATATAACAGTTACACATACATTTAAGATATTTTAAAAGATGATGATAATTATAATATTTTTGTTGTTATTTTATAATAAATTTTCTAATAATTTATAAAGGATAACATTAAAAAAAAAAAATTATTTATTTCTCGCCTTAGTTCAATTTTGATTTATATACCGCTTTCGTGTTTTTTGACTTGAGAATAATTAATTAAGACAAGATGTGGCAGAATTCGATTTCAAATTTAATAAAGACGGTTATGATGGCCTAACGTATTGACTCATAATTTCTAAAAATTCGATCAGTCTTAAGTTTTCGGAAAGCTATTAAAATTGCCGATGCGACTCAAATTGGATGGCATTATTTTACACCATTGCAGTTTCTATAGATATTTTTTTTAAATACACTGCATAGTCTTAAAATCATAATTTGAGTAAGAGTAACAGAGCATATACTCAAACATCTAATTTTATTTATTGAGAAATCAAAGCAAATGGTCAGTTTTATATAGCGGCTTATTATCTCTACTGAACAACTAATACTATCACCTGCATTCCAAACATTCCAAACACTACAAACCACTGTCGTTTCGTAAATCAAATTTTAATCCGAACTGGCCAGTCAAATTTTGCTACTTATAAATATTTTGTTTATAGCTTTAAAATAATAATATAAGAAGAAATAACAGAGCATTCTACTTAAACATCTTATTATTTATTATTTATGAAGAAAATCAAAGCAAATGATCCGTCACAAGTCACAACCTATAAGCCCTATACAGTAGATTAAAATCCCTACTGAACAACTAATACTATCACTTGCATATCAATTCCAACACTACCACTGTTGTTACGTAAATTGTTCAGCCAGTCAAATCTTAGAGAGAATTACCAATTCAATGGATCTCAGAAAAGTTCGATATCCAAAAATCTTAAATATGTTCTTTAAGTTTAATGAATATTTGATGAAGATAACTTGGAATTTTAATAAGATCCTTTAGTTATGTAGGTGTGCGCTATGATTAAGAAAAGTAATCCGCGGCATTGTTACCGCATGGTCTTTATGTATGAATTCTATTAATGTTATAAAATATACTTAAAAATAATAATAGAATAATAATTATATTCAATTAAAAATGTTGTATATAATAAAAATATAGTCATTACAATTTATATAAATAAAATTTTAATATTAGGGACGATAAGTTATTTAAAAAATTACAACAATAATTCACATTATTTTATATATATGCATATAATATACATACACATAGGTAGTTACATACCACCAAAAATTTCTATAAAATAATAATGACATTATCTACATATACATATATTTCTACATTAATTATTATAATAGAAAACTTATACCATTACTCTTGTTATTTATTAATGTGCCTTTACTTTTAATTTTCTTTTTGTTGCCTAAAACTTAAATATTTTATAATTGAAAATGAAAGGATGAATAATAGCGGTTTAAAATAATAAATTATTTATGATAATAAAATGAAACTGCGCTACAATATTTTCCAAAAAAAAAGGAAGATTTTTAAGAAAAAATAAGAATAGAAAAATTATTATTATTATGGTTGGTCTCCAGGCACTCTTATTATTGTAAAGAAATTGTTTAAAACAAGTACACATGTGTACATCATGTATATAATATTGTTGTGTATATAAGGGCTAGATAAAAACAAAAGTGAAGTATAAAACTTTTAAAACTTTTGTTCTAGTTTTTAATGGATTGTATACGACTATATTATACTTATATGTATAACTCATTCCAAAAATGTTTTATTTAATATTTTTGAGTATGTATGCCAAATTTATTGTAGAATAGGTAAAGTAAGAAGTGGTCCAACAATTTTTTCTTATAGTATAGCAATATATTTAATGTTTATTTAAAATTGTAGTTATTTATGTTCATGTAGAAGAATATCT